CAAAAATAAACATTTTATGGCAATATAAATTGATTACCATAAAGAAAACACTTATGAAATTCTCGTTTCTAAACTTTTTTTTATCTTTCAATAGTCAAGTCCCCTTCTCATTTTGAATTTGAAACTTGGCGTGACAGTTCAAACTTAAAACTATCCATTTAAAAGAAAAAGACAGATTTTCGATTCGATTTGAAATAAACGCAATATAATCGATTCTTGATTAAATTGGGCGTATTAATATCTATTTTCGATTATTTTTCTGTGTTAAGGAGATAAAAATTGCGAAAATATCTACAAAATAATATTAAAAAAAATACAAAATATCAACATTCCAACATGTAACAGTAAAAACAACAATTCATGTAATCAATCTCAGATCGATATCCCTAATATTCACTTCACTTAGTTGTTATTAATTTAACTTTCGTTAATTGTTTCACCATTTTGTTTCCTTATTAACCACAACTTTTCTTTAGTGATTTTATACTGCTTTTATATTTTTATGTAATTATAGTGAAAAATATCCTGTTACAGTGTAATAACAGTGAAAAATCACGTGTTACAGTGTAATAACAGTGAAAAATCACCTGTTACAATGTAGGTAATAGTTAATCTCACTTTTACTTATCCTACAATAACTCAACTCCTAGATTGACAAACCTCACCAGATTTTCAGCTATGAATCGTTTATATATACGCTTTCAAATAGTCCTACTTTCATCTTGTTAACACCTGGGCCCAAGAATGTATGGCGACGTCTCCTTCTCCTTTTAGTTTAAATTATAAAGACATTATTTTGATCGCAAAAAAAAATGAAACGAAAAAGAACGACATCTAAAAGAACGTTTTATGATACATTTCTAAACCCATGGATGTAAATAAAAATCTCCCGATTTCTGCAGATTTTTAGTTGGCAAATCTACCGATTTTTTATTTTTTACTTTTGCAACACTACAGGAGCGCAAGACCTTCCTTGCTCCCTAGATTGGCCCTGCCACTGTCGCGTGTGTAGCGAAATTGGAGCAATTTCAATCAGTTCCACAGAGTACTTTTATATAATATACATCAGTTCGTTGCGACTTTCGCGCGGAGCACACGTATGAGTACAAGTCAGAACCGCAGAAAGAACGTCATTTGAACGTTGTAACTTACTAGTAACATTAGTGGGATTTGTTACCTAACTTATCATAAGGGCTAGTATGGGAAATAATATACTCCAATAGTATTAAAATTGCAGGAATATAGATTAAAAATCATCATCAGAAAACTATCCTGGCTATTTGTAACACTAGTTAAATTATAGCTACTAAGCACTAGTTAGTTAAGTTATATCACAGAATAAATTGGTTATATTAAATTAGGACGAGTGAAGTTAATCATGTTTAATCGTCTTTGATAGCCTAAAAATAGCGTGGCAGAGCTATGCTGCAGCTTATAAGCATTATATTGTTTGTAATTATTAATTAATTAGTTGTTTTATTGATATATGTGGGTGTCTATGGGCCACAGTGTCCACTTACCATCAGGTGGACTGTGCTCATTTGTCACCCTTATTCTATACAGAAAAGAGCCAAGGCTATATATACCGATTCACTGATATTTCGATAAAACTGGCGCCATTCTCAACACGTGCGTCCAGCGAGACGTACACTCTCATACTGAACGGCAGACGTGTGTGTAGAGACACCTCCGATATTGCTCCAATCGCTGTGCTCCCTAGATTGCCCCTGCGGCAGGCATGTCAGTAGGCGCCTTAATGTTAAGGAGCCAAAACGTAATTTTTTTCTCTATTGAAGAACTGACCACCTGGTGATTACTGAAATTAAACATAAAGGTATAATATGTTCACTAATGTTCAATAACACTTAGGATAATGTATGTTGTTACTATTTAAAAAAATCAATTCCCAACTCATGCCTTGTATATTTGGAAGTACCATTTTTATTGTTGTTTATTTATTTTTTTGTAAAATCATACAACTGCTTATTTGTGGGCTGCATTTTAAATTACTTAAGCTATTATTATTGCGAGATATTACCTCTATTGTTGCATTATCTAATTTAGACTACATAATACTTAAGGAAGTGTCATTGTGTAGTGTTATTTCTGTTTTAGGGCAAGGACCCTAAAACCCTCTCAGAAATGAGAGGAGACCAGTGCCAGATTTAGAGTTCTGACTGCTATAAGCTAACTATGAATATGCCCCCCAACCCTGGCCTGTTTTGCCTGTGCCTGTCCAGCCCATGAACAAGAGATGAGAATAGTATTTCATCTGAGCCGAACTTGCGCTTTGTAAAATTGCAAGCGGTGTGTCGGCATGTACAAAATGCTGTCCGGCTCTGTTGAGCATGCCAAGCTTTTTAGAGGCCAATTTAGCCTTCCCGTCCAAGTGACCGTGGACGTACACGTCATTCGATATGTCGATGCCGAGGATTCCGATGCTGGATAAGGCAGCAAGGAGAATTCCCTGAAATTGAGGTTATCCGACATAGGGGATTATTTTAGCGGTAAACACACAAACTTGTGTCTTCTGAGAGTTAAACTGGACTATATTTAGTGACCCCAATCCAAGACTTTGTTTAATAAAAACTCGACTTCAGACACAAGTTTGGCCCGGTACTCGACGACGTGTGCCATACCAAAAGTTATTCTGTAAATAGGTGGTGCTTACAAAGGCAAGCTCAGTGCCCTAGGCTCTAGCCTAATTAGCCTGAGGGTAAATCAGGCCAAGGAGGCGTGTCCAAGAGTGGGACTTAAGGGCTGTAACTTTTATAAAAAAAGATAAATTCGCAATCGTTACATAATGAGCATAATATTATAGTTTTTTATATTATTTAAAGCCAGTTACAAATGAGCAAATATTTATAGATATATCCATATGCTAAAACTTTGCGTATGAAATGTTTATATTCCACATATATTTACATTTGCTTAACCATTTAAACATGCACCTAATACTCTCTTACACATGATGAAAATTAAAAAATGACTTCAACCCAATTAAACATACTCGCCTTTTGAGATTATGAAAGCCACCTAGCGACAGATAGCTGAAGGTTTTCTTTTTTTATCGAGACTAAATCTAACTGTGATACATATTACCAATCATTTTAAGAAAAACTATCGATTTGTTTGATATAATATAAGCCCAGAGAGAGCATGACTGCCGGTCGGTTTATGTGCCTGTTTTATCGTTTAAATTAAGGCTTTGAAGCGGATTTGACTCATAAGCCGATTTTATACACTCTCTGCGCATGAGAACTATTAGTGAAAACAATGAAAAAGTTTCCCGATGTGGATTTAAACAAATTAGTTTATCTGTTAAGCGCCTTGAGAATATCATTATCGACTGAATGCTGGCTCAAGTTGTCGTCAAAATCCCCCAAAACTTCGCAATATGACGCATAAACATGTGACGAAGTTTATTATAGGATAAATCCTACGAAGTTAATACTGACAAAAATACAATCGTACGAGTTTATTACCAAAAAAAACCGGCTAAGTGCGAGTCGGACTCGCACTCCGAGGGTTTCGAACAAATCCGTAGGTATATAAGTTTAATATTATTAAAAACATTTTTATTATATGATGTAACTAAAAATATATGCTTTTCGCAATTTTTCCTTTATCTGTGCTATAATACGTTGCTTCGTACCAAATTTTAAGATTCTGAGTTCACGGGAAGTACCCTGTAGGTTTTGATTCCCTTGCGAATGTCAAAAATTTGCGGCATAAACGGCTGTATCTTTTGATTGCGTTGGCTTATAATTTTGATTTTTTCACAGCTGCAAGGTACACTTGAGTATTTCATATGAATTTCAGCTTGATACCTCCACGCGTTCCTGAGAAAAAGGGTCTTGACAGACAGACAGACAGACAGACGGACAACAAAGTGATCCTATAAGGGTTCCGTTCTGTTTTTTCCTTTTGAGGTACGGAACCCTTAAAAACAACAACTTTATTGACTTATTTGTCCAAGAGTCAAGAGTCCAAGCGTAGTACATAAAGATGTGTTAACTCGGAAAAATTTCGACTCGAGTTAGCAGTACGAAACATAGTAAAAGATTTATTACAAATTACTTTTCTACCGACTTCAAACAGGAGGAGGTACTCAATGCGACCGTATGTTTTTTTATGTGTCAACACAGTCAAAATATTCTTAAATAAATATTTTTTTTTCAAATTCAAAATATTTATTGTAAGTTAAATATAATATTTTTGGAGTTAATTTAAAATATGATGTATATTACATTTTCTTATGTGACTGTGACTGTTATAATTAAATAGCAATTTTTAAACCGTCAACTTTGTTTATTATTTTTCACAGGAATTAAATAAATAAACTATTTTTAGGCGCATCGCCAACACGGGTATTACAATAATAGGTCTGTGACTTACGTAACTATATTGATCATAATTATAAAAGAAATTAAATTACATAACTTAGCTATTATAAAATTCTAAATCACAAATTGTTTTGGTTGTAGCTAAATACTCTTTGAAACACGAAGCGCGCACACAACGAGCGAATCTCTTTTGCTGACTCACTTGATCCGTTCATGTACAGTAGCCCAAATTCCAGTTAGGGAGATCCAACTCGAGTTAAGTGCAACTCGAGTTGGAAAAGTTAATTCGAGTTGACGCATCACTAGTAGTACTAGTATTATTTATTCTGTTTCCGGTCTGTGTCTGTGATACCACAACCACAGACCACAGAGTACTTTTTATATACTGAAATGTGATACTAATATTAGAAACACGAAGTACTATGTACATACATTGTGTTATTAAAAACTTAAATATATGTATTTTAAAAATCCGTGCATAAGTGAGTGATAATCAAGGAGTTACAATACTCTTTAGTAATAACCAATTCAATTAAATAGCGTAATTTCAGAGACTGACATCTATTTTTAATTTATTTCGTACATACAAAAAGAAAAAGCAGCCTCACGAAGGGATTTATAGAAACGAAACTAAAAACTCACATAGGTACAAATATGTCACTTGAAGTAGTACCCAAAGATATAAGAGGATTACGAGCTTGTTTAGTATGTTCCTTGATTAAGGTGATTGTTGTGCACATCTTATAAATTAGACTTAAGATTTTGGATACACTATACCAAATTATTTACACATCTACATGACTTATGTGATTTCAGACCTTTGATCAATTTGAATATGATGGTTGCGATAATTGCGATGAGTTTCTTAGAATGAAAAATAATAAAGACAATGTCTACGATTGCACAAGTAATAACTTTGATGGGTAGGTACATTATTAATTTTTGGTCAAAATAGAGTATTTTTTTATAGGATAGAGTGACAAACGAGCACACAGTGCAAATGGTTGCTGTGACCATCTACATTTGTCCTCAATTAAGAATCAAAATGCAGATGCATCGTCATCCATGAGGACTAAGATGGAAGCCTCTTTTCCAGTAAAATGGGTCTCCGGTTCTCTACACTCACCATATGAAACATTGATGTGTTTGTACACAGAATACCAGCGTAAAATGGCATCTTGACACTGATGTGTCAAGATTCCATTTTACGCTGGTATTCTGTGAGAGCGTGGTCCTTCCCCAGTCGAGCCAACCCATTCATGCTAAAACTATACCAGTAATATAGCTGCAGATGGCTCCACCACGTTATAAAATTAATATATTATCTGGAATATGAAATGCTGAAGAGCAATGTTATAATTTATTACAGAATGATAGCAGTAATGAGTCCTGAAGATAGTTGGGTATGCAAGTGGCAGCGAATAAGTGAGTATATTGAGATTGATCAAGAATGCCAATGTTCTATATAACATACAACAACAGTCTTGTTTTCCCAACCTTACCTAGAATCTTAAATTACTAATATGTTAATTATAATCATAAATTTTTAAATGTATATTATTAACAAATTATATGCATGTTCGAAATATCAAAAACATTAAGAATTTACTTAGTTATTTTGATTAAAAAAATATGTTTATTACTAGATTGACAGTATATACATGATATGCTTATTGAAAAAAAAAATCTTATACAGGTCGATTTTGTCCAGGAGTTTATGCAATATCAGTGTCAGGTCGTCTACCTGCAGGGGTAATAAGAGAAATGAAGAGCCGTGGAATTGTGTACAGACCTAGAGATACCAGCCAGCGGTAAAAATTACCTATTTTGTGAATGGAAGGCAAAATAAAATCTATATTGAGAATAATATTCTTTTATTTGAATGAGAATTAATTATTAGCATACATAGCAATGAACTTATAACTGATATGCCATAATTATTTTAATGCATTCATGGACATAATTTGTACCAAATATCCAAAATGTAGCCCTAATTTTTATGCAAATCTAGTGATTTCATACGTGTATGAGCTAAGTATTCTCTTCAAAGTTCAAATCAGAAACATTTATCGTGAAACTATTGTTTATTATTATATCATACAAGAAGCAATATTTTAATATTATAATATAATACATAATATTTTTGTTACATCTTGCCTGCCTCAATTTTTCAATTTTAAATATAATAATAAATAATGTATTTTTGCGATTTTATGAAATAAGCATGTAACTGCTTACAGGTATTTTTATATAATTCAAAATGTAACTTTTATATATTTCATCAATAAAACTGATTAAAAATTAGGTTACCTATGAATCATTTTTGCTTTTTCATTTCAATTCAGAGGAACTACATTCCAAAATGCTATCACATTAAAAAGTTTTAATTTACATTGAAGTAATAGACATTTAATTACATTTGATTTGGTATAAGAAAACTCATTTTACCTAGTTTAATTTTACTACATTGTTATTTGTATTTGTATTGTTATGTTATTTACTACAAATATAATTTTAAACAATAAATAGTGGACAATATTGTATAAGTATTATGCACATTTATGTAAAAAGACTACTTTCACATAAACATATTTAAGCTACATACTAGTAATATATGTACTGACTTCAAATTAACACGAGTGATAATACTAAAAATGTGAAAAGCATTGTATAAATTGAAGAAATCATATACAGTAGAAATCGGTAATAATGACATTGAGGGGACCAGTCATTTGTAATGATGTAGAGCCATGCTGCAGAAGGGCCAGATTCTGACACATTATTAGCGTAACAAATGGTTAAAATTAAAAAAAAAATTGTACAACCAACATCAATATAAATAAAATGAGAACATTATCAATGTGTTTGAAGTCAGTTAAATACGCATTATTAAAGATAAAAAGAATCATCAAAATCGATATTGTATTTTTTGTAATGTGTGTTACATTACAAAAAATACAGTCGAATTGAGTACCTCCTCCTTTTTTTGAAGTCAGAATGGATTTTGCCTGCTTCATTACCAGTTTCAAAATTTCAATTACTTTTCAATAGGGATTTCATTTTTTCTATTTCTTTCCAAATGGTTGAAAATTTAAAGTGTTGAACTTATTATTCCTTTGCCACATCTTTGACTACTCCATACTCCCAAATTTAATTATGACACATGCTTAATGATTAATATTAATATGGTTTCACAATAATAATAAACTAGACTGATGCATGTAGAGTACAGCAAGCAACATACTAAAGATAGATTTGTGCGCCTATGACTGACAGTAATACCTACTACTAGGTACTGCCTTTTGTTTACATGGAAACAGAAGGCCTTCTGATGTTAACTAATAAAATTCTAAATGTATTATATTAAAAATAATGTAAACAGAAAGCTGTTTAATATATCATTGCAAGCAATATAGTTATAACAGTAACTATATTAAAAAGTATATATGGTACTTATAACAAAAACACAATTTTTAAATTTTTTGTCTGTCTGTTTGTCCTATATTCTATTCTATATGGGATTCAGTCAGAATTTTTAATATGCGTTGTTAAGATCAATATATTTTATTATATGACTAGCTGTACTCCGTGACTTCGCCCACGTGTAATTTGGTTTTAATTTTTTTGCACGGAACCCTAAATCCTTTTCAAAAATAAAAGTAGCCAAAGTTACTCCTTATAATATTAGCTATGCTACCAGTTGTACCAGTACCAGCTACCAGTGAAAGTCCCGTCAATCGGGCCAGCCGTTTCGGAGATTAGCCGGAACAAACAGACAGACAGGCAAAAATTTTAAAAATTATGTTTTTGTTATAAGTACCATATATACTTTCATATGCATTTAGTAAAAACCTGTTATTTTGACGTTACAAACAGATACTTCAATTTTATTTATTTGTCTAGATGCATGTAGGTAAATCCAATTTTGACTGACCTTTATGTTATGTAGAATATTAGAAAACTTAACTTAAACAAAAATATGCTCTTTGCTATGATAAAAGATAGTTATTTAACTGAGATATCATAGCATAATATATACAAAAGTACTATTCATGATACCATACTCATTGGCCACAGCTCCCCAACTACTGCCTTAACCATTGCTGTTACATAGTAAATACTTATTATACATATTGCAATAATATTCATTACATATTATTAATTCATGTTAATTTCCAATGTTCTGTAAAAATAACACATATTAACAGCAATAAATTTAAGATTGAGGTGGCATAATATAAACCAAAGTGTAACATTTTGTAAAAAAAATATAATAAATGACTAGCCTAATTAGTTGGGATAATAATATACATGTTTATTGTACAAGAAAAAAAATTTAAACAGACTACAATTATTATAGCATCTGGTTGACATTTAAAAGAGATTGCTGACATAGTATATTCATTTAAATACAATAAAAAATACAGATGAATGGATGATTAAACTTCCATTGTATGTTCAAATGCCTTTAAAGTATAAGTGGAATGCTAAAAGGAACTAATATTATACAATAACATCCCTGAAACACATTCAAATCTATGTCTTAAGACTAACACTGAAAGCTTCGTTGAAAAACAACAAAAAAAGATATATGAATTTTTAAAACATTACAATTTTTGTAAGCAGTGATGATTATCTTAAATTATTACAAATTGAACACGATAAATCAGAAACAATTGTTACTTAACAAGGAGTAATTAATGTGAAATTAATAAATAGTAAGCACAACATTTTGCTCTATCATCCCAATTAATTATCTTATTTGCTGCATGTTTTATGAATTCTTGAGAGAAATGATTTTAAATTTCTCCATTATTAAATACACAACTCATTACAGTGTTGAATGTGCACATAAGACTGTATTTTTGTCAACTACTACCTGACGGCGGTGCTTTAAATTCGTTATCAGTACCTAGGACATCTTTGTCAATTTCTTTAAAGTCAATATTTTGCTGCTTCATAGCTTTCTGAAAAAACAAAAGTTACTTTTTAGTTACTTATCAAAGAACTTTTATACTTATAACCATAAATATGTTTATATAACCTTAACACATTCTTGGTAAACTTTGAAAATACCAGCACATACAGAATCGTCATGATCGCCTTTTAAAAATTTTTCCGAAAACCAACTATTAAAGCAATCATCATATCTTTTCTTTAAATCGGTACACTCTTCGCCGATGCTGTTCATGTTTTACTTATCTTAATATTGTATTGCTTATACCTAATTAATCAATAAACGTTAGCGTAAGCAATAAAATACTAACTACCTTTTTAAGAGGTTAGTTCTTCGCACAGAGTACTTTTTATATAGGAAATTCTTAGCACAGAGTACTTTTTTATATAGGAACGTTCTTATTCTTAGGCCCGCTCTATACATACGGAATTCCGTTTCGAGATTCCGTTTCGGAATTTCGAACGGTCGGCCACACACAAACGGAATCCCGTTTTGCCCGCAAAATATCGAACGGAAAACTACCGTACGTGTGTGGCGGGTCATAGATTTTATATGGACTTGCTGCGTTCGGGATTACGAATCGGAATATCGAAACGGAATCTCGAAACGGAATTCCGTATGTATGTGGCCGACCGTTCGAAATTCCGAAACGGAATCTCGAAACGGAATCTCGAAACGGAATTCCGTATGTATGTGGCCGGCCTAAGGCGCCTACTGACCTGCCTGCCGCAGGGGCAATCTAGGGTGTAGGAGTGGGGATGACCCTTAATTACCTCCTTAATTGTGATGTGTGTAGGCAAGCAGGGCCAATTTTTTAAGTCGGCCCTGCGGCAGGGCGGCAGGAGCGCAGTGTTGCAAAAGTTCCCGATTTATCGGGAGATCTACTGATTTTAATTAGTATCTCCCGATATCCCGATTTAGCGAACGTATATCCCGATTTTTTTACATTTTCAAATAATGTAAAATAATAATCATAATATAATAAGTAATAATACAATACTAAAATGTACTTTTAATGATTTCTTATATTTACGCGAACACTACACATTGAATAAAACTACTTTTACGAATTTTATCGCGTTTAATTAAGTTATTTTATATTCCCGACGTTTCGGTTGCTTTCCAGCAACCGTGGTCACGGGGGACTGAGGTGATTGACGATAAAAGTTTTGGCCAAAGGTATGAATTTCGCTATAACATCGCAAAAAATTCCGTATGAAAACATTATCTGTAGTGTTGAGGACTGTCTGTATAAAAATAATATCGGTACTGAAGATTTAGAGGCTATACGTCAAGACATTTCGTCCTTGTTACGTCGAAGCTCAACGCCGAAATTAAATCTTCCCAAAGATGAATTTACTGCATTGAAAAACTTACGCAACAGACCAGATCTTACGATTCTCCGCGCAGATAAAAGTAATGCTACGGTTATAATGGATACGTCGGATTACAATTTTAAAATACAACAACTTTTATCGGATGAAAGTACGTACGTAAAGGTCAAAACAGACCCTACAACTAATACGCTTAAAACAACTAGCGATCTAATAAAGAAATACTCCGAGAAACTGAATCTAGACGTTAATTCGATAATACCTGCATGTGACAAACCGCCGAAGTTGTATGGGTTACCAAAAATACACAAACCGAACGCTCCATTACGTCCAATAGTGAGTCAGATCGATTCGCCAACTTACAGATTGGCTCAACACTTAGCAAAAGTACTATCACCACTCAGAGGACATACAAGAGCACACACTAAGGATTCATACCATTTTGTCAGTGAGATAAAAGAACTACGTCTTACTGACAATGAAACTATGGTCAGTTTTGATGTTCAGTCTCTATTTATATGCCTACCTGTTGAAGATTGCATCTCAATTGTAACTAGGAAACTAGAGGAAAACAACATGCCAGCAGAATATGCAGTATTACTCAGACATTGCCTTACATCTGGCTATCTATTGTGGAAGGAACAGTTTTACAAGCAAGTAGATGGTGTTGCGATGGGCTCACCGGTATCTCCCATTGTCGCCGATATTTTCATGGAGGACTTTGAGGAGAAAGCCCTGCTTACTGCACCAGTAACTCCAAGTTTCTACAAGCGGTACGTAGACGATACTTTCACAATTTTACCATCAGACAAAGTAACTGCATTTTTAGAACATCTTAATTCCATAAGCTCTAAAATTTAATTTACTATGGTATTAGAGGCAAATAATTCTTTAGCTTTCCTAGATGTGTTAGTCATTCGAAATCCTAATAACACCGTAGGTCACACTGTGTATAGAAATAAGACCTATACAAACCGATACTTAAACGGTGTATCCCACCATCACCCTTCACAGTTAGCTACCGTGGGCAAATCTTTGTTGCAGAGAGCACGAGGGATCTGTGACAGCAAGCACCTGGCCGCCGAGATTCAGCACGTCAAGCAGGTTCTGCACGACAACAAGCTTCGGGTTCCGCGCCTACGTCACAGTGACCGAGTGAAGCCGGCCACAGTCGAGCGTGTGCCTGCTGTACTACCATATGTCAGAGGTGTCACAGACAAGATTGGCTACATCTTGAAGCGAGCTTCTATTAGAACATTTTTCAAGCCGCCGAAGAAGATTAGTCAGTTCTTACCATCCGTCAAGTGCAATATTCCTCTACAAGATGCAGGAGTATACAAGCTTGATTGTGAGTGTGGTCTCTCATGTATAGGGCAAACAAAACGATCAATAAAAAACCGCGTAAATATAACACATAGCTGACGTGAAGCACCAACGTTCCGGGAAGTCTGCAGTTTGTGAACATATCCTAGACGGCCCCCGCCATTACATTAGATTTGATAAACCACAAGTTCTCGCGAAAGAACATCGATTCCTGCCAAGGATGATACGTGAGGCTATTGAAATTAAAAAACATCCTAATTTCAATAGAGAGGGAGGCTGGGTACTACCACCTGCTTGGGATCCTGTAATTCATAAAATTAAAACTAAACCCAAGCATACCACTGCAAGACTTCAAGACACAGTTAGTTCATTCTGCGTAGATCGGACCAAAATTAATAATTAAAAAGCTGAAGGTACTCCGGGTTAACTTTGACATCGGGACGTCAATCACCTCAGTCTCCCGTGACCACGGTTGCTGGAAAGCAACCGAAACGTCGGGAATATAAAATAACTTAATTAAACGCGATAAAATCCGTAAAAGTAGTTTTATTCAATGAACTTTTAACACAAAATCTATGTACGGGGACTTCCCGAAATTGCTCGCACCACGTCCTATGGGACCTATACCTATAACCTTATTAGGTTTTTAACTTCGCGATATGATTAAAGCATATTGCACTGATACATCTCAAAATAGAGTTCATTATTGTCTGGTAAGTGTACGGGGGAGATCCCTAAAGATTACTTTGTTCGGGTTGTTTTACGAATTAGGTAGCTTAGGCCATGTATATATAGTGTTGTTCGTTCATAGAATTACATTCACTAATTACTAGCCTTCTTCTGTTTTGTTGAGAATTATGTGTGTTTTGTTCTTCTGTGTTGTAGCATTAGTTATCAAAAAAATAATTTAGAATGGCGTTTGCTTCTAAATACGAAAGAAATTAAATCACTCAGTGAAGAAACAGAAGAATTTTGGAGAAGCGTGAGTAGCAAAAATATATAATCATAAAATTGTAGTTTAAATTTTAAAGACATTATTTTGATCGCAAAAAAAATGAAACGAAGAAGAACGACATCTAAAAGTACGTTTTATGATACATTTCTAAACCCATGGATGTAAATAAAAATCTCCCGATTTCTCCAGATTTTTAGCTGGCAAATCTACCGATTTTTTATTTTTCACTTTTGCAACACTGCAGGAGCGCAAGACCTTCCCAGACCCTGGACCTTCCTTGCTCCCTAGATTCGCCCTGCCGCTGTCGCGTGTGTAGCCCAATTGGAGCAATTTCAATCAGTTTATCAGTTCGTTGCGACTTTCACGCGGAGCACACGTATGAGTAAAAGTCAGACCCGCAGAAAGAATGTTATTTGAACGTTGTAACTTACAAGTAACATTACTAGGATTTAGGTAACAAATCCTAGTAATGTTACTTGTAAGTTACAACGTACAACTTATCATAAATATTCAAATAATATTAAAATTGCTGGAATATAAATAAAATGTCATTATATAAATATTTAAACAATTAATTTATTATTAAAAATTTTAGTATAGTCTGCGCGGAAGTGCTAGTCATCGCCTTAGGTATGTGAGCGGCAGGACGGGGGAGGTAGACAAACATCAAGCTGACGCAGTCTGCCGTCAACCGCCGCGACGGTTACACGATTCAGTTGTACGCGACAGTTTTCTCCAAAAATACATGAGATAAATATTCTAAGATGGGTCCGCCAATACCACGACAAGTGAAAAATATTATTTATAATGTACATAGTTTTTTTTTAAGACGAAAGGGCGACAAGGAAAGTATGGAACACAAATATGATATGAACATTAATAAATTAGTAGCAGAGGCTACAGGAGTGTCTGCCCGCACCGTAATGCGAATTGTAGCTGAAGGAAATTCGAGTCTACAAACATCGGAAATTGCAAAATTTTCATCTCCGCGGAAACCTAAAGAAATAAAAAAGAGAATCCACATTGATGATTTTGACATGGGAGTTATACGAAGAAAAATTCATCAATTTTATACTAGTGATAAGAAAATCCCAAGTATTCGTAAGCTGCTTGCAGCTTTAAAAGAAGATGGCATTGTGAACTGCGGTTGTACCTATTTACGACAGCTTTTACATAAGATGGGATATTTATTTAAAAAATGTAAATCTAAGAGACACATTTTAATTGAGAGGCCCAGTATTGCTGAATGGAGAGTAAGGTATTTAAGAGCTATACGGAAACATAGAAATGAAAACCGAAACATATATTATCTGGACGAAACCTACGTTAATAGTAGCCACACCTCCAATATGTGTTGGCAATCCGAATCTGAGCCTGGAATTTATGCTGATATTGGCAAAGGGCGTGGTTTGGTGATTGTTCATGGTGGTAGCCGAGACGGATTAGTTAACGGTGCCTTAACAATTTTCAAATCTGATTCGAAATGTGGGGATTACCATGGCGATATGAATGCCACAAATTTTCATAACTGGGTTAGTCACAAATTGAAAAATAAACTAGCTCCTAATTCAGTGGTCGTAATGGACAATGCCTCCTACCATTGTGTACAGGTAAAGAAAAAA